ACCTTCATAGCTCTAGGTGTTTTGATGTAATAATCCACCTCTTCCTGTATCAGTTGCAAACAGTTGAAAAATAGGAATTGGAGTCAGCTACAGATTAAAATAACTTTTTTATTTTATTTTTTCTAGGAAAGCTGGATTGGCTGCACAGCCAAAATTAGCATGGTTATTTCCCTAACCTCAAGCCAAGTCTAGACACTGAGACTGACATGAGGGGGAAGTCAGTCTACAAAGCAAACCATGACCCAGCACATCAGCTGAAATTGGTTCAGCTGAACAGGACTTAAAATTCTAACATTAGTATCTTAGATCGTAAAGAAGTAAGCATTTCAGAGCTGGTATAAAATTCACAACATCCATGTTCTTGAGTATGTATTCTCTACCAAGCTTAGCGCCCAGCTTCCATCCTTAGGTTTGGGCTCAAGGGCCCATTACAGGGTCCAAGATGGTTACTGGGGCTCCAGCCATTTCATCGACATTCTAGGCAGCAGGACAGAGCGTTGTAATGAACCTTCCAGAAGTTCCATTTAGATATCATTGGCCAGACTGTTCTACAGAGTTAGCCCAACTTCAAGAAAGGCTAGGAGATATAGTCTTATCTTGAGCAGTAATATGTCCATCCCCAAACTGGTATTCCAGGACTAAGAATAAAGAGAAAAGATGGATGTTTTGATGGCCAGGTCAGCTAATGACATGGTCTTGGTCTTCCTGCCCCTCTGAGCTCAGAGAGCCCAAGAGTGGGACCCAGTTTTGTTATGTCCCAGAGCAGCAGCCGTGGGAGAGAATGAATCCAAAGAAAGCCAAGAGGGGTCAAGTGTACATGCCCAGTGCTCTTTTCCAAAACTTGACAATTAGGTAACCACAGCTCCTCCTGTGGGGAGGAGTAAGTACAGGTAGTAAGGGGGCTGTTTTTGGAATATTCCTGGAATGCTGCTTCCTTGTTGGGAGTGAAGCAGAAACTCACTGATGGAACAGAAGGGCAGGGAGCGGGGTTTACCCTGACAGTGCCTTCCCCGGCCTCTCCTGCTGGGCTTTACTGCCTTACCCAGCACCCCTACTGTACAGGCCAGCTCATCCTCCAACTCTAAGTTCGATGTCACCTTCCTATGGCACCTTTCATGACCCACATTCCCACCCCCAAACAGGTCTCACTCTTGCAATCAGTGTGTTCAGACTAAAGAGATAACATTTCTGTGCTATTGGAATGCTTATTTCTATGACTGCGTCTCCTTCTCTCACTCCCATGCGTATTCTAAGCCACGCAGTTGGAGAGTGTCTTTGCGTTTCAGCACCTCGTATAGTACCTGACCTTTGGGAGACACTCAAACACGTACTGAATGAGTGATGGTGAGGCTCTCCTCCTTGCCTGCTCTCCCTTTTACAATGAGAAAACTGAGATCTTGAAAAGTTGAATGGCATAGTAAATAATAAAAGTCATGGACATCTATGTTCATGATAACCTCACTGTGTTCTGGGTACTTTTATAAGTGTTCATATATGTTCTTCTCCTTCATTCTCACACCGGCTTGGTGATGCATGTGTCATTGTCCCCGAGGCAAAGTGGCCAAGCCCCCAGGGTGAGAGAGTAACAAAGATGGGATTTGAACCCAGGACTTTCCTAACTTCAGTCCTGTGCCAGCATAGAGTGGACCAGGCCGCAGTCTTCTGGGTCTATGCCTGACTTGAAGCTATTCAAATTTTATCCCCTTTTCATGCCTGCTTTGCTGTAATGCAGTAATGATTGAATAGTGCTTACGAAGACAACTCATTCTTGGTGTAGATACATGTGCCCGCCAGTGTGGCATTTGTCTAGTGACGATGCTGCACATCTGCTCATCCTACCCTCTTGCCCAAGTCACCAAGAACCACTTACAAACAACAGCTGGAGGGAAATAAGAGAGTTATTTTGCTCTAGCTGGTTTGGCTCAGTGGATAGAGTATCGGCCTGCAGACTGAAGGGTCCCAGGTTTGATTCCAGTTAAGGTCACATGCCCGGGTTGTGGGCTCGATCCCCAGTAGGTGGCATGCAAGAGACAGCCAATCAATGAGTCTCTCTCATTATTGATGTTTCTATCTCTCCTTCTCCTTTCCTCTCTGAATTCAATAAAAAAATATATTTTAAAAAGTTAATTTGCCCAGTTTAAAACCTGTTGGAATTTCCCTGGGGAAGAGAATGGTCCTGTGGGTTAGTGCTGATCAGAAAGGGTTACCCCAGGAGGACACCACCATACAGCATTCGGCTCTCAGCAAGTCTAGGCTGGTTGAGGAAAGTACAGGCTTCGCCTAACACTTTTTGTATCATAACAAGTGAGACTTCCTGTACCTGGGGGATGGATGGTCAGAAGAAGGAAAAAAATCGCCTGTCAGAGGAGCCGGGAGAGACACAGTGTTGCTGGTCACACCCCTTCTAGAAGGGACTCGTGTGTGTCCCCTTCATCCACCACTTTTGACAGAAAACTGCACATTCATCACACAAGATTTCTTCCCAGGTGGCTAGCCACACTCCTGCAGTTATCCGGGAAAGAAAATGGGATATTGAACTGTAGATCTTTCCCTGGCTCCGAGGACTTGGAATCCTTGGTGCCCTCCATCATGGATGCTCCATCGTGCGGCTGTGGGCACTCCCTGCTCTCCCGAGATCAGATCCTTTCATCAGAGCTTTGTCTTCTGGACACCCTGCTTTCTCCCGCTGTAGCCAAGAGGAAGGATGGCACTGTGCCAGCTGACAAGTGGAGGGAACATGAATGAGAAAGACAAAGCAGGGCTGCCATGGAGACAGTCCTCTTCCATGGTCCGGTCATTGAACAGGATGTGAAAATAGGCCGAGGCCTATTTGCTATATTAAGTGGAGGGGGTTGTTGTTGTTGTTGTTTGTGTGGTTTTTAAAAAATCTATTTTTATTGATTTCTAAAAGGAAGGGAGAGGGGGAGAGAGATAGAAACATCAATGTGAGAGAGAATCATTGATGGGCTTCCTCCTGCATGCCCCACCCTGGGGATCAAGCCTGCAACCCAGGCATGTTCACTGACGGAATCGAACCATGACCACCTGGTTCATAAGTCAATGCTCAACCACTGAGCCACACCGGCAGGGCTATCAAGTGTTTTTAAACACAGTAAGAAACCCATGTTTTATTGCAATCCAGGACACACATGTAAACACACACACAATAGGTCACAACCTGAAGGGTGGATGGAGCAGTAGTGGCTACAGCACAAGCTATAGAGTCAGACCTGCAATGAGCCCCTGCTCTCCCACTGAACCCCCAGAGGAATTTTGAAAAGCTGCAGACCCCATCACACATTTATAATTGTCACCTAAAGGTTTTCCTCCCCAAATTTAAATACTTGCAAAGACTAGAATTTCCCGTTTACTGTAAATATGTTATAATACATGTCAAAGTACAGAGCCAAAAATTTAGCTCAGATTCATAGACAGTGTTCATTATATAAGCTAATTGCCAAAAATATCCCTCACTGTCTCCCCCATCAAGCTAATCAGACTTAACTCCTCATCAGAGAGGAAGTCAATCTTCATTTGCAAAAATTCAAATAAACACACTAAAGTGCCCACCTCCCCACACTTCTGACTCTGACTCTGAGAGGCAGAGAGGCCAATGGATGGGAGAGGTCAAAGCCTGGCCTGAGTCTGTACCTGGTTGACATAAAGCTCTGCTCCTCAGAGACCTTCCCTCAGGAACAAGCCTTTCTTTTTTTAAAATGTTTTTAATTGATTTCAGAGAGGAAGGGAGAGAGAAGGAGAGAAACATCAAGGATGAGAGAGAATCACTGATTGGCTGCCTCCTGCACTGCCACCACTGGGGATCAAGCCTGCAACCCGGACATGTGTCCTGACTGGGAATGGAACCGTGACCTCCTGGTTCATAGGTCCATGCTCAACCACTGAGCCACACCAGCAGGGTGCAGGAGCAAGCCTTTCCCAGTTACTTCTAGATTATTTCTATCCCAGGCCCAAGCTCCTTCAAAGGCTTGAGGTGGATGATAAATGCCATTCCTTTGTAAAGAGGCAGAAAACAACTGTGAGAGGGGAGGGAGAGGGAGAGCTGGGAGACCTCAGACTCCTGGTGCTTCCTCAGCCAAGTCGGTTTTGGGGTCATGCAACTTGATGATCTGAAAACTGATTCTCCCAAATGTGTGACTGGAACCCCCAAGAAATTATGCAAATAGTCCTAGGTGCTTGAACCACTGTTCTGAGTCTTTAGTATCCTCATCTGTAAAATGCAAATAGTGATAGTACCTACTTTCAAAGACGGTTCAGAAGAATACATAAAGGCTGTATATACAAAGAAAGCCCGTATTGAAGTTCTGGGCGCAGAATGAGTACCCACTTTGTGCTCGCTGCTGTTATGGTTGTTGCTGTTGTTATTCGATCCCTCTGCTTGATAACAAGGCCATTTCTCACTGGATTAAGTAATCCTCAGGCCTGTCCCTCACATTTGTGCCCACAGCCCATATATCCAAGCTCTGTCCGCACATCTGCAACTAGCAGCCCCTTTGGCCACTTCTTGGGTCTGGAACCTACATCTTGTAGCAAATTCCACTCTCAGGTCACACTTGGATAAGAAGCCCTCACATACCTCGGAGGTTGCCTGGGCAGGAAATTCAGGATTCTGACTTTCTGGAACTTGCTCTAAAAGGGGTTGGATATAAGTCTGCTGGGCATATCCCCCCGGCCCAATAGATTTCTTGCCCAGATAGAGTAGGGCAGGAGCTACACAAAGCACAAGCCCAGCGCAGCGGCCCCTCCTGCTTGGGTCTAAAGGTCTTACCTCACGGATGTTGTTAATCAATTGGGCTAATGTGTGTGGATGCGTTTTAAATGTAAGACTTTAGTGTTATCTTGATGGCCTTTATGACCCCAAATTCCGTTAAAGTCAACCCCCTTGAACAAACGGATGGAAACCACAGAAAAAGACAAGTTAGGAAGCAGACCTCACTGGAGGGCCTCAGGGGCAGAAGAGAATGCCTTGTCTTTGGTTTCAGGGCCCGGCTTTCAGGCCTCGGGATACAACTTCAACACCTACGACTGGAGGAGCTCGAAGCAGAGAGGGAGCTTGTCCCCAGTCACTAAGCCTCGGAGCCAGACTTACCCCGACGTGGGGCTGAGTAACGAAGACTGGGACCGCTCCACGGTCAGCGGGTAAGGCTCATCTACCGTGGCCCTGTCCCGACTGCTTTGTGTTTGGGGGGCCAGATCTGAACCTCTATGTCCATTGGCACATGTTTCCAGCACTGGCTTCCTGAAGCTGCTAGAATCGGCCATGCTGGCCTGGTGGCCGGATTCTAACACTTGTGCCTGCCCAGTGGGAACCTGGGCACCACCACACAACAGGGCAAGCGCTGTGTCCCCTAAAGAAAACAACAGCACGTGGGGAAAATCTACCTCTAAGGACCGTGGCCTCACTCTGTGACTAGTTCCCTCTCCTTTCATTTAAAAGGTAGTTTCACATCAACTTCTATTTTTTAAAAAGATACACCTAGGGTCCCATATTTTTTGCTAAGATATATTTTAGCATTGTGTTCCTTACCAAAATAAGGAAATTTATAAAAAATGATAGCACTTGATCTATACCAGTGATTTTCAACCCTTTGTATCTCATGGCACACATAAACTAATTACTAAAATTCTTTGGCACACCAAAAAATATATTTTTTGCCGATATGACAAAAAAAATAGGTGTCATTTTGATTTATTCACACTGGACGGCTATTGTGGTATTGGCTGTTGTCATTTTGTATTTGACAATCTAAGGCAGTGGTTCTCAACCTTCCTAATGCCGCGCCACCCTTTAATACAGTTCCTCATGTTGTGGTGACCCCCAATTTCATTGTTACAAATTGAACATAATTAAAGCATAGTGATTAATCACAAAAACAATATGTAATTATATATGTGTTTTCCGATGGTCTTAGGCGACCCCTGTGAAAGGGTCGTTCGACCCCCCCAAAGGGGTCGCGACCCACAGGTTGAGAACCGCTGATCTAAGGGAAAAGAGGTCAGTGCCCCTGACTAAATAGTGTTAAGAATTCTTGCAGCCGACTGGTTGGAAATCACTGATCTACACTGTGTTTACCGTAGGGTGGGGAAAACATTTTCTCTCTCAGAGAAAAGTTTGACTTCTCCTCCCCTGCAGCTATAGTAGCTGAAAGATATACAAACGCCCCGTTAATGCCGCTCATTCGGCAGTGGCCAGGAGCACTCTGAAGTTCAGTGAGCAAGACCATGGGCCTCCTTTCATTCTAGCCTTTCCTAAAGTGCCCTCGCGCCCCGCCAGCACTGTTTGGAGGCCGCAGTTGGAAGAAAGCCAAACCCAAAACGAACCTGGGGTTTTTTGGGTGTGTGAGATGAAGGGGTGAGAGTCTGGATACAGGACGAAAACAAATCTAGCAGCATCGTCATAACCAAGACTGTTTTTGGTGACAGTTTCACAGGGGCTCCTGACGGTGCAGAGGCGGAGCAGGAGGAAAACTTCTGGTCCCAGGCGCTGGAGGATTTGGAGACCTGCGGGCAGTCGGGGATCCTGAGAGAGCTTGAGGTAGCCTGGGTCCTGCTCCTTACTTTGATTGTTTCTACATTCATGATTTTTGGTCCTTCTGAGTTGGCATTTATCACACCAGTTCATTTAAAAGCTTTAACCCCTTTCCACAGGAGAAAGCCGACAGGCGTGTGTCTGTGAGAAACATGACTCTCTTGGTAGCTACCCTTTTATGTTTATATTTTTGCTTGTGAAGCTGCCTCCCCTGCCCCCCTTGCCTTCCGGACAGCAGTTTGATTTGATACAATGCAGTGAAAAGTATATTGATTTCCCCATTTTCACCCCTCCCCCACCTGAGCTGACTGACTTGTGGCTTCTGCCATTGCTCCCTGCTAACCCTGACTGTACCTGTTTGCCACCGAATCGCTAAGGAGGCAGCTCAGTCTCCCAGCAGTGGCGCATCTCATTCCCTTAGCCGCTTTAGAAAGGTTTCTTTGGCATGTTTTCATTTGTACCTGGTACAGAAATTAATTTGATCGTGAAGCGGAACATAAGAGGAAATTTTATTTTCTTTTGTTTTGTCCTTTAAAATAGATGGTGATGCAGCTGGTGCAAAAGGCCGGTCTGTGGGTTAAGCAGCCAGACTGTTACACAGTGCTTTGCTGCTCATTGCAAATTCTGATCCCATATTAATTTAGTGTGAACTTAAGGAGTCCTGGTGAGATGGAGTGTCGTAGCTGAACTCCTGCCGAGTTCTTTAATCAAAGCCATGAATTTGCTGACGTACTCACGCTTTGGTCTGGGAAGTCCTGGACTATTTCCTTTTATGTTCTTTTAAATTTTCTAAGCTGTAAAAAATAAAGTGGCAAAAGTTTCATTTTTATTTTGATGTCATACGAGGTCCCCAAGTCACCATAAGGAATGTGAATGGCAAAACTGGGTGGAACTCTTGCAATTTTAAAATGATGACTCATCTTTATATTATTTTGCTTCTCAGTTGCATGTGTGGATATTTTGTGTGAATCTGCAAAGAGAATTATAAACAAAAATATTAATTTGAATTTGTAAACATCATAGTATTACCTGGCATGAATTTCAGCTTCCGAGCATGGCTAAAGGACCTGGAGGTGGATAATCCTATAAAACGTGAATACATTAAAATGGTAGCAATTAATTCCTTTTCATGCAACTTTCCAAAAGTGTAGAATGCTTAAGCATCAGCTGGCTTATTTAAACTTTTACCACTTCCTAAAGGGGCCCAAACTGAAGGATGAGCTCAGTTCACAATTCCTGAGCATACTCCTGCTTTTGAAAGCATGTGTTTGGCTCACATGCCTTTTGCATGTTGATCCTTTTTTGTAGAAGCAACTATCCTTCTAATATTCTGTTATAGCAGGTAAAATGCAAATGATGTAAAACACAATATGTGTTTTTCACCCCAAAATTGAGTTATCCAGTGAAAACAGCACCCATCAGCATAAAGATTATACTGCAACCGCCTGCCAAGCTTCTAATGTAGCTTCCTTCAGGCAGGTGTGGCTTCTGAAATTAGCAATCCAGAAGGGAAATGGGCTGAGAAATTAAAGTCCTCACCTAGAAAGAACGATTGGCAAACCGTAAATTAGAGTCTTATTTACACTTTTATCACAAAGACACATTCATTTATTAGTTTAAATGAACTCTGACCCCTTGATTGCAAACCCTAACTATGCAAAAAAATATATTATTTGAGCTAGGTTCATACATATGAAATTTATATCCACTATAAAAGTCAAAATGCACTAGAACTGTAACAAATGTAGATTAACTAAGTTGAAATGACTACAATTGAAATGAAAAGGAAAATTACACTAGTCATTTTCCCCATTGTTAGCAATAATTTAGGTTCAACTTAAGCACTGAAAAATGTATAGTTTTAACAAAGGAGAAAAATTCTGACTAAGACTTTGGACAAGTTACTTAATATGTCTTATCAGATATATCTCTTTCTTTAAAATATGGGGTTTGTAATGAGCTAATACTTACATGGCACTTACTAAATGTCCAATAGAAATGAATTATTTTTGCCATTTGTTTGATTAATGAACACTGCTTTTACTTTTTGTCTAATACAGAAAGAAGGTTTAAACATCAGAGAACTCTTAAATATATCTCTTCTAAGTTGTTTGTACATACCAATTATCTCACTGATAATGTAGAAAAGAGGAAATTATAATTGTAAATTATGAGTTATGCAAAATAGAAAAAGGCAATAAATAACTCTTGGAGCCCAAACAAATCCTAGAAAATTTAAATATTTCTTAACTTTTTATTATAGTCATGTATTTGTGTTTTAATTGTTATATTGCTTCAGAGATGTCACTGATTCCATTGAAGTTCTTTTTAAACAAAACAATCAAGCCATCAACGTGAACCAAAGACCTTTTGAGAATATGTCCTTGCTCCCATCAGAACCCTTTCTAGACCGATTTGTAACTTCTGCATGACTAAGGCTTATCAAAGCAAACTTGTCTCCCAGTTGCAGTGATTAAGTATTTTATTTCCAACATGTTTTCTGCTGGTCCCACGAAAAAATGAATGTAAAAATTAGATGTTAATAAAAGCAAATAACTAGTCTAAGTAGGCAAAAACAATAATAGGTAGATGGTCCCCACGGCCAGAGAGCAATCCTTGGGTGCTGTCTGTTACAGTAGATTAAACAAAAAATAAAAAAATGATACGTGTGAGTTAAGTGCCATAAAATAAAAGGATGTCCCAGGATATCCATAAAGCTGGTCACTGAAAGTTTTATTTGGGAAGGAATATATCTGAAATAAACCAAAATATGGATAATTCATACTGGTTTAAATGTTAGGGTTTAATTGACTAAAAAGGTCAGTTTTATATGCTTCAACGTAATATTTGGCCGAGAAGCTACACACCCTGGTAGTCAAGAATAAAGTCTGGAGTCAGATTGCTAAGGTTGCAATCCAAGACTCGTGGGCAAGTTGCTTAACTTATCCAGGCATCCCTTGCCTTAACTGAAATGGGAAGATATAATAATTAAATGATATTCTAGATACACACACATATATACAAGTGGTATTTAGCACACGTTAATGCTCAGTGACCAGGAAGGTTTTTTCACATTTACTTTTCCAAAATTATCATTTAAAAACTGATCTAGTTAGGATATTTTTATTTCTTCTCTTTCAACAGAGATGTTAATATGTGCACAAGAGCACTAAGATTTGCCATTCAAAAATTTTGTCGGAGGTATATTTATAGTTGGACACCAGATGAATTTGGAATTATAAAACCTTAGCTAAAAATGAAAACTCTACCCACTTTGCAGTGTTTCCTCCTGATCTATAATTTTAGGTCGTGCCCTTGGCTCATTTACTACCTATTTTGCCTTGGGTAAGTCACCCTCTTTGTGCCTCAGTTTCCTCATCTGTAAATTAGGAGGAATAACATTGCTTCTTTCATAAAGTTGTTTCGAGGCTTCAGTGGGTGAATACATTCAAAGGACTCAACAGATTACACTTCCGTTACTTTTAGCATCAGTATTATTATAAACCTCTACGTGGAGTTGCAGCCAGTGACACGGCATATGGAACCTGTTTTCTGTTCCCAGGATTTCTGGCAGATTCGCCAATTTGACTTTACCTTCATATAGCCGTTGTTTGGAGGAACACAGGCGTATTTTCAGAATTTCAGCAGCCTCCAAACTCGAGAAAGGGGCATCCCCAACCCGATGCTGGTTTCAAGTGCTCTTTTTGTTCCCCTCTGTGACTCAGTCATTTTGGGGAACTGATCTTCTAGGCTTGCTATTCCTGGTGTTTTCCATAGAGAATGTATTTGAAACGGAAACTGGTAACATCCCGATTCACTGGTAAAATCCAATCCAGGTGCCACAGCTTTTGCACAAGGGCTGAATCCAAGTAGCATAATAAATTATTACTCTTTAACCTCTCTCAGGATCTTACACAAAGGCCATTTCTAAGAAACAAATGATGTGGAGACATAGCTGGTCTACAAGCTTCTGGGCCAGGCCCAGTGGCCAAAGGAAAGACAGTAGACAAGGGGCTTCGGGTCGGAGCTCTTGTCCTTGTACCAGTAGCTCCATTTTAGCCCATTGTTTTTCCAGGTGGGACGAGAGGCAGCATTGCAAGTAGAGGCAGCCTGGTCTCCAATGAGAAGTTCTTAGCTCATTTCTGTAAGACACATTGAAGGTTGCCTCGTGAATCCCATCGTTAGAGCCCACTCAGTGGAAAGTTAATGCTTAAAATGTAGTTTACAGTAAGCAAATGTTAGAGCTTTTCAATTTGCCTCAGAACTGCCAGGGGTGGTATCTGATTAAATAAACCCAGCAGCTTAAGTACTTAAATTGGATTTGAGATGCGCATTACAAATGGCACTTACAAAGCATTTTTTCCAGATTTTCATACTTGGGTGACTATATCCATCCTTCAGTCTTTGGTTATGCCCTGAAGACACTGTATTTTGACTGGGCAGAGGCAGAAATGTGCTTAATGTTGAGCAACCAAACCCTTTCCTTCGTCTGTGGCTTAATTGTTTCTGAAAATTGTCAATGCCACAGGCAACAATCATGTCGGGGAGCACGATGAGTTTGAATCATGAGGCCCCAACACCTCGCAGTCAGCTGGGGCGACAGGCCAGCTTCCAGGAACGGAGCAGCTCGCGGCCACACTATAGCCAAACAACTCGGAGCAACACTCTGCCCTCAGAGGTGGGCAGGAGGTCCGTCCCCCTGAGGAAAATGAAACAAGAAATAAAGGAGATCATGTCCCCGACTCCGGTGGAGCTGCACAAGGTCAGGAAGCTTTCTTCTCTTCCCTTAGGGTCACACGTAGTAGCCATTGTGCATAGCCTGATGCAAGCATGATAATGACCTTGCACTTTGGTCTCAGCCAAGGAAGGAAGCCAGGGCTTAAAGGTCGACCGGCAGAGACTTTGCTTGTTCTCTCAACACCGAGACATTATTTTGTAAAACAAAGATAATTAGCTTTCAAGCAATGAATTAATAAAGAAATGTGTTTGTGGCCAAAAATCTTCTTATGAAAGTTCAAGGCTCCAGTGTCACATGGAGCTTTGATGATTGGTCTATTATTCCAAATTCACGGGGAAGGGCAGGAAGGATTTTCCTAAATGTATATGCTCCTAGCTTGACTCAAAGGGGCTTGAGGTGTAATGTGGGAAGGCTTAATCCTTAATTTCGGATTTATCAGTAGCTGACTACATTACTTGAGGGACATGAAGTTCTCTTCAAGATGATTTAGACGTCTTGGGTTTGGAAAGGGTAAGCCTGGCGATGTTCCATCTCTGCTACCATAGTTGCCTCACTTTACTTCATGAAAGAAAACCCACAATGGCACACGGAGCTGAACTTGAGTGGCGGCAGAGTTTAAATAAGGCATAGGTGAGTGGCAGTGTTTGTGGAACCACTGTCAAGTACAGCTGTGGTAGAGAGGTGTCTCTGGTTTTCTTTTGTAGAACTAATGCTTTGTTTTTGTTAATGCATAAGGATACTTACAATCTCACTCCATTTTTCTTGAGAGCCAAGACCCTCTCTGTAGTCAATAATCTAGTAACTAGAGATTATTTATCTTGCCCAGAAGAGCAAATAAATGTTAGATTAAAAGGAGGTGACAGGCCAGCTACTCCTTTTTTCCTCTAAAGCAGTGGTTCTTAACCTTCCTAATGCCGCGACCCTTTAATACAGTTCCTCATGTTGTAGTGACCCCCAACCATAAAATTATTTTCATTGCTACTTCATAACTGTAATTTTGCTACTGTTATGAATCATAATGTAAATATCTGATATGCGGGATGTATTTTCATTGTTACAAATTGAACATAATTAAAGCATAGTGATTAATCACAAAAACAATATGTAATTATATATGTGTTTTCCGATGGTCTTAGGCGACCCCTGTGAAAGGGTCGTTCGACCCGCAAAGGGGTCGCAACCCACAGGTTGGCGACCCACAGGTTGAGAACCGCTGCTCTAAAGACTTCAATTTCCCTAACCACCTATTAAAAGTAGCTATTTCTTTTACAGCCGACAGATCATAAAGTAAAAGAAAGGACTTTGTGGAAAGTTGGGTTCTGAACTTGGTATTCCATTGCTAGATGCATTCATTCACTTAAAGAATCTGTTGCGAATCCCCAGCAAGCACATACCAGTAGTCTAATGGGGAGGCATTCTGGGAGACAGTGGGAAGATGGTGGGACAGGTACAATGACAGAAGCAAGACTAGGCTGCCTTGGAGGGCAGAGGGTGGACCCCTCCCACTACAGAGGAATAGAAAAGGCTTCCTAGGCACAAGTGTTGCCTCTGCAGGAAAGTGGGGAGTGGAAAGGTGAAGAGTGGGAAGGCATTCCAAGTACAGAAAAAAGCATGTGTAAAGGATGTCAAGACTATGATGTGCTGAGGGAATGAGAATATTCCAACATATCACCGGAGCCTTGAATTGGAGCCTGTGCCTTAGGAGGAACTACAGAACTTTACAGAAAAGCAAAGGAGTTTCTGACGTTTTAGGGTAGTGACCCAGGTGTCACTACCACAAATTAGGTTGTTTATCCAGCTACCCTGAAAGGATGTGTCTGTCTGGTGATCACCGGCCTTCACCCCCCTCACACGTCCTAACACACTAACGACAGCACCATTAGGAGTCTGAAGGCCTCACATGAGTCTTCAATTGCAGAAGCTGCATAGTCAGTGCTAATTCTGCTGCATCAAGAAAAGGGCTGGCCCCTCCTAACCCCTCCCCTCTTGCCCTCTTCTCTAACACTCCATGTCCAGGCAGAGGAGAGCACGCTTCTGACCCACCCGCCCTCAGCATCCAGGGAAAGGACACCAACATGTACGGAGCGCCTACTGTGTGCTGCATGTCACCGGTGTATACCCCTCACAATAGCCCTCCTCAGCAGATATTTACTATCTCCATCTATAGGACAGGGAACTAGCAAGTACAAAATAGAGTCACTTTTCTTCTGGAGTAAAGCAGTCTCCTCCAGGGAAAAGTATCGATAGCCTAGCAATTCAAAAGGCCCGTCTCCCCTTCCCTCCTGCACTGGCTGCATTTAGCACAGATAGTGATGGTGAATTGGATGTGCAAATTGTTACAGTTGAGGTCAAAAAATGGCTGTGCTGAAAATAGATCCTGTGAAAAGTTTTTCGAAGGCATCTCCACTGACCCAGCACAGTGAGTGGCCGGGGAAAGACTGGCTGAAGCTGTGTCGGTGTGTGGATCAGGAGGCCTCGCCATCACAGACACAGGTGGGCCAGCTTTACCTAATCAATGTGCTTCACTTCAGTGCATTTCCCTCATAGCTTCCCTTCCTTCTGAATTGACCTCAAACTAAATAAGACTCTGAAAAATAGACGGTGGCTGGGCATCATGTGACACCTAGTAGGATCTGGTGAAGTGGCGGAACCTGCAGCCGACTGTACGGGATTCTCAGAGTGGTTTTCGCTCACATCTCAGGCCTCTCTTCCTTTCTAAGTGACTTCAGTTGCTCTGATAGGCCAGCCACATGGTGGCTGTGAAACCTTCAGGGTTGAAGTGGTCGGGAGGAGAAATGGTCATGAGAACTCACTTCACTCAGAGCTGAGACCTTTGCCTGGAGGTGCCTTTTGAACTCTGGACGATTAGCTGACACCTTGGAAAAGCACAGTGACGTGTTGACAGACCTGAGTGATCCTTCACTGGGTACCACCAGCCTGCACCAAGCCTTTGTGAAAATTACTCTCGTGTGATGGGGTAGAGAAGGGGCTAGGGCTGTGGTCGGCAAACCGCGGCTCGCGAGCCACATGTGGCTCTTTGGCCCCTTGAGTGTGGCTCTTCCACAAAACACCACATGCGGGCGCGCACGTACAGTGCGAAGTTGACTTAAAACTTTAAGTAAAGTTTATTAAGTTAATTTTAGGGAACGTTGTGGAGTGAAAGAAGATGTAGTGTCGAGGATTGAGAAAGGTATGGTGAGATGGTTTGGACATACAGAGAGGATGAACGAAAGGAGATAGACGAAACAAGTATACATGACGAGTGTGGATGGGAGAGTTGGGAGGGGTCGACCTCAGTGAACGTACCTCAATCAGATTGAGGACGTTTTTAGCAAAGGCCAGCTTAGGAGTACCCTAATTAAGTTAATAACAATGTACCTACCTATATAGTTTAAGTTTAAAAATTTTAGCTCTCAAAAGAAATTTCAATCGTTGTACTGTTGATATTTGGCTCTGTTGACTAATGCGTTTGCCGACCACTGGGCTAGGGAATTAGAAACACACCCCTCCCTCAAGTTGAAGACTCCCCCAGATGGAGTACCCAGCCTGACACATGGGGTGAGGGCTGGTTTTCAGTTCCCTGAGCCCCTTGGGTGCACTTTCTAAGTGGACCTGGTGGAGGAATTCCCCAGGAGCTGGGAAGAGCCAGGCGAGAGGCTGGGGGCGTGGGCAACACACCATTCTGAACACGTGTGTGTTCTTTTCCGGTGGCCATCTTTCTCGTGGCCATTGGCACTTGGAAAGCTGTCTCCACGAGAACAGTGTGGGCCGTTCCCGTCCAGGCCGGCGCCTGCAATCGCTTACTGTCGCTAGAAGCTGACCAGGAGGCTAGGCGGGAATGAGCAGGTATCTAACCCCATTCCTGGAGAGGAAGACAAAAGGAAAAGCTGCCCCTCTCCTGGTGACGGACGACTAACGCCTTCACACAGCAGAACAAAGTGTGGGCTTGTCTTTCAGTTTCTTGGGTTTCATCTGACTCTCATCGTTTGCGCCCATGTTCCACCTAGTCTTCCTCGCCATTCCTTCTCTTCCTTAGACCTTCAGAAATCCTGAACTCAGGTCAGAGTCTAAGCGGTTTCGTTCATTTCACGTCATTTGCTGTGTCTCAGGCTCCACCAGGTCCTGGCAGGGCTTCCTTGAAGTTGTCTGGTTGTCCATCTTTCTCATGAGCCCAAATCGCTAGCCATCCTTCCTGACACTCGAGAACAAACAGGACTGAAGCTCCACTTCCCATGTGGATGGGGAGGAAGTTGAAGCTGGACTGATGGTTTAGTACTTTGTTGGGGGGAGGCAGGCTGGGGGTCACTGGGAAGTGATACTCATGTCCCCTTAGACCACTGCCTGTCAGACTGTCCTGGCTGAGTCACACAGTCTGAAATCATTTTATCTCACACGTCAGTACACACATATACCACATTCATATATGAATGAATCTAAATTTTGTACACTGACATCTTCTATTTCTTGCTTATTTCTTCTTAAATGTGATCGCATGAAGCTGGCTTTCAGGCTTATTAATGGGTCACAACCAAAAGTTTGCAGACTACAGCCCTAGATAACAGTTTGGCGTGTGACCCTCTGCTGACCTTTTCTGTGATGACATGGGGTGCTTGTTCAAATGCAGGCTCCTAGTCCCCACCCAGACTTAGCTGGCCAGCACTTTCTGGGAGGTCAGGCCAATAATCTCCCCTTTAGCAACCCCTTCATTGGATTCTGTTGCGCCCCAAGATGGAGTATCATTCCCTTGGGTGTTGCTAACTAGCAGTGAGTCCTCTGTTTCGGTGAAGTCCCAGGCAGCACCTGGCTGATGAGGTAAAGAGATGAGGTTGCATCTTTGGCCCTGGAACTCCGAGTTTTATCTTTGCAATGAATTCTGGTCTGTCTTGTAGCTTATCGCAGATTCTTCCTCTTTGCAAGTAAGGCGCCTGGGATCTTCGCTACAGTTTATTGATAACCCTTCTTTCCCGCCTGAGTGTGAATATACTTTGGTGTCCACTTAATCCATTTCTGAGGTGAAGTCCAGC